AGTAATAAATTGTACATGCAGATTACATATAATTGTATATGTGCAAATTATACATAATTTTTGCAATACTGGAATTACATATGCATATTTCGAATTGTTTATTCACAAAACTCGAGTTATATATATATATATGTATGTATGTATGTATGTATGTATGTATGTATGTATGTATGTATATATATAATTCGAGTTTTGTGTGCAGCGATGTTTGTAACAGTGCAGTGTTTGCCGCGAGTTCTGTAAAGGCATATTTTGAAAAACTAAATGTAACGGGACTGGATTTACAGCATTTCTCGTGAATTGTAAACAGCTGTTTCAGATGGGTGAAACAGCAATGCATGTGAGCGCTGGTGCGGGACAGTTCGATATGGTGCATTATTTGCATATGAAAGGTGCGGCGCTGGATGCAGCGGACCGGCACGGCGACACGCCGTTATTCTGGGCTGCTCGAAATGGCCATACCAATATTGTCAACTACCTCACCAATGAGGAAAACGTCAATGTTAACACCCTCAATAAGGTTCATTCGTTTGATAGCTTATATATGAGTTAGGATCATTTGTGTGCTTGCGTCATTTTCTAGTCCAGTGCAAAGAATGAGTAGTTACGGTCTGAACGATGTGAAGAATGTAAATTTTTTATCCTGAAATATACCTCGGTTGCACTTCCTTTTTCTGCTTCATGCATAACCACCACAGTTTTGCACAGGGTTTTTATGAAAATTTGAAACCATTCACTGGCAGCGAGGCTGCAAATTTCGTTCTGACTTTTAACAGTGAAAATCCGGTTGTCCTCGCAGTTCATCTTGTTTGCAAAAACTTCATCTTTTTTGTCTACAACACAATATGAGAGGGGATTGTTTACGCGATGTTTAAAAAATTTATAAAATACTGTCATTTTAGAGTAAAGAAAGTGTGCTTCACGTTGCCACTCGATATGCGCAACTGGAATCAGTGCTTTTGTTACTGGAGCGTGGCGCCAATCCAGCCTTACAAGACGAGGTATCAGCGTATAAACGTACTAATAGACGTACTAGTAGAGGAGAAAAGTATCGCAGATGGAAATGCTCTGAGAATATCCGCGCCCTCCAGTGCCGAAGCAAATTCGCCTGCTGTTTCTTTTCTTAAGGACTACCTGAAAAATGTAAAATCAAGCCGGGACTCAAGTGAAGATGTTGACAAAAAAGGTATAGGACTTGGCCAAGGAGGTTCATGGATCAGCGCGCGTATTTCTTGAAACGTAGAAGAGATGAAAGGGGCATAAAAGTGTTACATCGCTGAAAGGGACATTTTAACGAAAACTCGCTTTTCCTCCAAAATTGTTGTTTCGAATGACAGTGCACCATGTTCTTTGTAGCACGGTGAAACAGCACTGCACATAGCAAGTTGGCACGGATATGCAGCGCTGCTAGGAGTTCTTTGCAAGTTCAGTCCACCAGTGCTTCTGAAAAACCAGGTATACTGTTATTTCTGGATTTGGCGTCAATGCCGTTAACTTAATTCACTCATCACTCAGCTTGCGGTCACAGAAAACTTGTGAGTAAAGTAGAAACTACTGATTTTTTGTTTATTTTTGAGAACGACAGAACATTTCCAGGATCGGAGAGCAAGAAAACTCTGCAATTTAAAGACTGTTTTAAAAGTCTTTTCCTTTTCCTATCTGGCAGCCGTTGATTTCTTGCTTACTTAAAAGAATGATAAGGTATTCCAGAAACGAGAAGGAAAATCCTGTGGCCTGAGAGCAGTAGAAAGTTTTCTTTCCATGCAAGGTATCCTGGCAGGAAAGAGAGCTTGAATTTTCTTTGAGATTCAGGGAACCACTATTGTAATTTTCTGACTGAGGAGATTAATTGAAGATTGATTTTTTTTTTTTTTTTGGATGTCAGTATTTTTTGATGAATAACCGTCACGTTAAGTGGAACAATCATTACTTAAGTGAAATCTTAGCTAGATTTTGGGGGTTTAGACGAACAGATCGCCTTTTTAGTAGAGGCATTGGTGTTTTCAAAGTTTTGTTGTGAATTTTTTTATCGCGAACAAAAATCTTAATCTGTGTGAGGAGAAATAGCGATGCATTCTTTGTGTTCTGCATAATGATGGATTTCCTTTGCTTGTTGGATGGTGTTTGAGGAGCACGCTACCAATCCGGCAATATCTTCTATTCCCTCGAGACTTTGCAACGACCGTTGTGCTGTGACAGCATTTGGAAGCTCTGCTTTTCTTTCCTTAATGTGTTGTTCCAAATTAAATAAAAGATCAGCAACCACTCAAAACACGTATGATGCACCTCACTTTTTTTCTAGCAAAATCCGAAAAATAAGCGTCGAACTGAAAGATTACTTGAACTCTCTACGCACTAAGATTGCTTGGATTCTCCAGATTTTAAGTGGATTTCTCTCTACGATATCCGTTCCACACCGTTATTAGTATTAACAAAAGAAAACAACGCAAATTTATATATATTTATTTAATATTATCCTTATGGACATATCAGCACCACAGCCGTCATACCAGCGAAGCGCAGTTGTGGTGCTAAATGAGCATGTATACGACTTTATGGACCGAAACTTTCCTGTTCATTTGATTATTTTCTAAAATGATTTTAATTTTATGTATATATATTACCAGTAATGTCTTTATTACCATCTTAGTCGTCTTCTCAGCACAGACACTTAAGGGAGTTGTAACATTAGCCTTAAGTATGGATCTGAGTCTACAAACTGATGTTTGAATGCTGATTTCACCTCGCCCACTTTGCATTATGCATTATGACTTTAAATTCAGCTACTGCGCCATAAGCCTGTAATTTGCTCTGTTCGAAAACGGCAAAATGAGCATAAATTCGTATTTTAA